GAGAAATGAGATTTACAATATCCAGCGCCACATCAGTCCTTCTGTTTGTGTCTATTATTAAAAAAACCCTGAGGCAGTATTTGTGCAGAGACATAAGCACCACGCTGTGCTGCTAAGAGCCACGTTCGACACGGGCATACAGGCAACTCGTGGTGACTTACACCCTTCCAAGAGCGCCTGAATTAAGGCTGATGGCTGTGGAGGTCACCCAGTCGTGAAGCTGCTGCCAACCTTCTGGCTGTCTTGGTGTGCACAGGCACCGGGGTGAAAGAAGAGGTATGTGAAACAGAAGGTGAGAGTTTTTCTGTGGGAGATCATCAGGTTTCATCCTGTTAAATTTTCATTATGTTTTCATCCTATGTTAAATAAGTGCATTAGGAGGGGTGCTTAGCCACAGGGAGTGTCTAATCCCGGTGACTTCTGCTGTATTCAGTGCCCACCTGTGATCCTTTTTTCTGTGCAAGGCGTTACTAGGGCTTGGCAGGTAAACAGCCTTTGTGTCTCCAGCTCAGGTGAGAACTCGGCTCTCACCAGCTCCTCCAGCAAGCAGGGTTAACCCCGAAATACCTGTGATTCCCCTTCAAGAGGATGATCAAAGTGAGGGCAGCTGCTGACCAGCCTCCAGCGCAATTCCTATTCTTTACAACTTCCCACTCTTATCTGCAGAAAGCCCTGGAGTTCCCCTCTTCTTTTTTGATTTTTATCATTTGTCCTTTCATTGCTGAACTTGGACATATCTTTAAAAGCCGTCTTGCCATTACTTCCCTTTAGTTTAGGAAGGACACCCATCACCTCCAACATTATGCCCCCAAACACCCTCCTTCACTGGAGGGCAAGCAGAAGCCCCTGGGTTTGCTCTGGGGCATATCTCCGCCCTGCCCTGCAGCTGGATTAGAGTAAAGCCACAATTTCAGGCTTCATCGTGCCCGTTACCACCAGGAGACAGGAATGAAGGAAGCAGTTTTGTTATCCCAGGGTAAGGCACACTGAGTGGGCAGGACTCTCCCCTACCTCCAGCGTCTCGGTCCCAGACCTTCACTGTGCTGTCGTACGAGGACGTGGCAATGCTGGGGGTGAGACCTGGGCCCCGTGGAAGGAAAACGCACGAGGTCGTGGTCTGGAAATGCCCTTTGTACTCGCACACTCGGGTCCTCGTCTGCCGTAGGTCCCACAGCTGCAAGGCAACAGGCAGCGTTTGGAGCTCAAGCTCTTACTGTCACTTGTCAACATGGAGCTGTTTTACAAAGAAAGGAAGATGGTTTTGGATAACGAGCTCCTCGCCAATCCTTGCAGTACAATATCTACCACCTTTGTCCCCTTTTCATGCTCAGAGTCCTGGAGAACTTCAAACCCCAAAGGATTTTCACCGTCGGTGACTATTTGAGTATGTACCCACACCCATTAGAGCTGATGGGCTAAGACTGTGCGGGCTGATAACCACGACTCCAGCCTGCTCCCGTCCTCAGCCCGGCTCTCCCTGCGATGGGATGCTCTCATCCTCTTGATGCTCACACAATAGGGCTGAGAACCTGCAGGACTGAATCCCTGGTTTGGAAACACCCCAAGCAAGGGGTCCCTTGTAGGTTTTCTGCAAGAACCTTGTGCTCCTTGACGCCATTACTGAAACAAAATCCCAGTGCTTTAATCAGTAAAAATATCTGCTCAGATACTCTCTGAGCAGAAGACTTACCAAAGGGACAGGTGGGAAGACACTAAGCTCTGGCCCTGGCTGGTGACACCAGCGTAAGGCCGATGCAGTGGGAGCAAGCAGATCCTTGGAGCACTGACCTGCCCCCGCTGTATGCCGTGGACATCGGAGAAAAAAACCCGAAAAAGCAGGACTCGCTGCCCAGCAAACTCACGGTCGCCTCGCCGCCCTCCCCAGCGGAGCCGCTGCTGCTGCTGAGGCAATACCGCCCGTCCTGGCTCACGTCGCAGCACGTCTGAATGTGCCGCTTGGCTGGGAACGCGTGTGCCACCTGCAGCTCCCGGCTGTCCCAGATCCTGGCAGGAGTGGGGAAGGGGGGCTCTGATGCGTCACTGCCGCAAAGGGCTTCCCTCCCTCCGTGCCCTCCCGCACACCCTCGCTGCGCCTCGCGCTTTGCGCTTGCTGCCGTCCCTCGTGGGGCCGTCTCCCTCCCTCCTC